TCTTAGGCTAAGAAACATTTCTATAACCAATATGATCAAACATTAAAGAATAGTAGTACATCAACAATTAATTACTAATTTTAAACAGCAAGCCAGACAGTAAACAATACATGAAAAAAAATTCCCATAACTTTGCAAATTAATTCCTTGCTTATCTGTGAAATGTCATTATCATGACATTTAATCATAAGTTAATTTGAGAAGCACGTAGCTTTGGCCATTTTCAAGAGTGTGCACATGCGTGCACACATGCACCCACATCATATATAAATATATATCTTACTGAATTTTGAAAAATGCTTCCCAAAACTTTAAATAATAGAAACTGAATATTGGCAGATTTTACTGGTCTACTTCATACAATTCATTATTTCTAGGAAAAATACACATTAATTGAATTTAACTACTATTGGCTGCTGTATAAAAATATGCACTTTCAAAGTCTGCCATTATCATTTTCTCTTCCCAAAACTCCAGAACTCGACAGTACCCAAATAAAAACACCCATTTATTTAGTAAGAAAAAACACAAAAAAATTAAACACAATAATGTCTTCATCAAACCATTTTATGTTATTGCAAAGATCAGACCATACGTCTCACGATTTCAATGAATTGATAATATGAGTAACATATATTTCGCATGTGTAAGAAAATGCATGTGAACTTATAGAAGCCATTTTTCGTAAAATGCATGAATCAATCTAATATTGGGCTAAGTCATGTTTAATATTCAAATTTGCACCAATATTTTAATTCATTTTTTGTTTTACTCTTAAAATATTAATTTTTAAAAATCAGGTAGACAAGACATGATATGTATTTTCCTCAAATTCAATATGAAACATTTATATATAAAAAGTTGTAAAATCTTTTTACTTGAATAAAGAATCTAAATAAAGACAGAACAAATATCTGCTGGGGACGCATTAAGTAAAAAATATTCTGTCTAGGGCAGCATTTCGACCAGATGGCCAATGGTGATTCTTCTAATTTTGGATATAGCAGAGATCAATTTACATGTATGGTTTCTTTTTATAAATACCAAATGATTAACAGAAAAAAGGATAAATCAGTAATAATCAATTTCCTTGCTATGCATTTAACTGTTAGGATCAATGGAATTGACAACACGCCATGTTCAGTCATAATCGAATGATATTACAATAATAAATAAATAATAGGGGAAACATTATGGTTCGGATAAATGTTTATTCCATTATATCTGTGCTGTGTTGTGCTGTGCTGTAGAAGACACAGAGTCCTATTAATGAACTACAACATAAAGAAACAAAAATGGAACATGTTAGAAAAGATTTTAAGGGCAAAGGTCTCTCAAGCAATCTTCTCTATCATTAAATTTCCTCTGTACATATGACATATAGAAAACCCATAGAAGATCACTGAGAAAAATCATCCATTGCTTTCACTTAGCGTATCATAATTTATGATGGAGGGTTTACGCACTGGATTTCTTTTTGGTTTTTAGTTGTTATTACACATCTATTAAAAGATTTGTATAATATTTATTCCAAATAAATTAAAAAGCTAACCCACATCGAACATATGTGGAAATATGACTGAATACCTGATTATAAAGCAAGTTACATATTGTGAACACAAACCCAATTTTGCATAATTTTTGCATCGTGGAATACACTGGTATTCAAAATCTAACCTAATCTGCCATCCTAAAGATTACTAATGTTGTTAAGCTGTCATTACACAAAGTCTAATAAGGTGCATCTGTCACGAATAGATATGTAAAATTAATCTGCACAGAAATTTCTAAATGAAAGTATTATTGTTTAATTTTTGTGTTTGCAAAGAAACATTCATAGGAAATTGAATGTTAGTATATTTACTATTATAAAGAATATATATTTTAGAAATATTGCTATCAAATAGTACCATTGTTTTTCTTTACTTAAGGCTGTATTTAGCATTACCACTGGATGCAATACCAAGATTCCCAAGACAGCTGATCATCTGCTTCTCCTTAATAATTTAAAGGACTGTTCTGAAAATAATCTATCCATGCATCATACACAAGAATTCTTTTTTGTGTCATCCTACAGTCTTTTGATTGATCCATAGACTAAAAATCTGTGTTACTTTGATAAATCATGCTCAATTTGAAGGAAATTCAATATGCAAATGTTTCAGCTGTTCTCCAGTTCAAATGGCATTCTATCAATTTGAAAAACTAAAAAAATCGGCAAAGGAATACTTGACTTTATTGCTTAATGTCTATTAGGAATGCCATAGCTGTCCATTCTAAAATCTATGAAATAATTTAAAAATCTATTGGACATCAATATGCCAGAATCTTTAAGTGTTCCAAGACGAACTTTCAAATATCTGCATCTATAAGGAAAATGTAAATAAACAATAAAATTACATACATCTCCTTTTTTTTAGGAAATTCTCTTCAGCTTTCTTTTAAGCTTATTCTGGTCTTAGAAGAATAGAGCCATTTCTAAACTTACATTTTTCAGCTCATTTTTCTACACTAACACTTCTTAAACATCTGTCTGGTTATGTTAAACATCATGTTATGAATTATATATATACACAGACCTCTATTTTCTCAAGGTGATCATCTTTCAGAGAGCATAATTCCCAAACTATGAAAGGAGCAAGGACAATTCCCAAGCTTCACATACTTTTCCTATAGAAAACTAAATAAATTTAATTCCAACACATTAAAAAATACAACTCACAATACATTCAAAATAAACAAATAAACCTAAGTTTTATGGAACTGAGCATAAGTACATATATGGCTTTACAGAGAAATCATGAGCAAATTCTGTAAATTCTGGTATTTGCTGTTTAAATGCAGTTTATACAGGCCCCTAGTGGTTTAGCACTCATAGCAGCAGACAAAGGGGTGATCCCTACTTTTTAGCATGTTAGTTCCAGTATGTAAACACATTCTATTTTTTAAAAAATATAGTAACCCTTAAAAATAGGAATATAGCTTATATTGTAAATATAAAAACTGGGTTATTTTCAAACCTTACACAAAAGTTAAATAATGCCACGGAACTGTCTGAATCTAATGCCTATGTCTTATCACAGGCATGTTTTAACTTGTGGCACTATTAGTAACTGAATAGAAATGTATTATACAAATGAAACACTAATTCTGAAAGCACTGTTTCTTGACATCTGGAATCTCAAAGATGTGTGTCCTTTATCAAGGACCATTCTTAAAAAATCACACAAATCTACTACTATAAATGGTTTAATGTCAACTTAGAGGTCTTTTCTGAAATCCCAGTAATTGAAAAGAATGTATAAAATCATGTATCATTCCAGATTGAAAGTACAGTATGTGTAAATCTAATATGCTGCCCTCAGATCATTATTATCTTACTCCCCTTTGTAAAACTAGAGTTCTTCAATCATACTTTTCATAATGTATATTTACATCAATCCAGTAGGATAAAATTTGACAGGTAAACTGATGCCATTAAAGAGGCTATTAATTAAACATTTAGACACCATCAATAAAACAGTTCATCTTATGACACTTCATTTAAGGAAACTGATAAATCAGCAGCATCTTTACTTAAAAGCAGGTACCTGTCATTGATTTTTTTTTTAAAGATCTTTATTTGATTTTTGTTAAGTTTCCAAATTTTTGTGCTGGTTTTTTTCCTCACAGGTAAAAAAAAATGGCTTTGAAAACAAAATTTCATTTTGAATTTGCAGCTGCAATATTCGAAGCTTTTTTTAACCATACGTCCAAAAGTAATGTTTTCTGTTCACTTTAATTTTTGTAACATATATGGTTAAAAAGGAGGAAGAATTCCGTTAAAAAACATATTTTTGTCCACTCAGATAGGATGTAAGCAATTGACCGAAATACCCTCCTGTTACGAAATACCTTTCAGTATTTTTTTTCTCCAAAAATAAATAAAATCACAAACCCTAAAGAAAAAACTATCAAAACAAAACCATGCCTATCTGAGCAACTCAATTGAAATATTGCACTGCCACACACTGAAACTGAACATGAAACCTTGATGGTGCACACTGTGAGCACTCCTCTCAAACCGGATCTAAAACACACATTCAAATTTTGTGTGTGTACAGACTAAGGTGAGGATAAATGCGCTTCCCATGAGGTATGAAAATTATTTTGAAAAGCACCTGAAAAAATTAATATTAGCAAGCCCTACACTCCCATGAAATAACCTGCAAGAGGAACAAAACTAAGGTCAGCAAAGCAGAAGAGTGGAGGAAAGGTTACACAGTGCAACTTGCAACTTATCCTGGCATGGGGATGGGGTGGGGGGGAAGAGAGGCATTAGCAGAAAGGGCAACTTGCAAATCCAAGCAGGCTGAAAAGCAAGGAGAGTGTCACCTCTTAAGAGAATCCTGATCAGTAAGTTTGCCAACAAAGAAGCCCTCTTGTAAATCCTACAGGAATCGCTGCCTTAGTGTTGCAAATAATAATGATAGGTATAATGGCAAATATTTCTCCGCTTTAAAATACTGGAATTTATTTTTTTTTTCCCCAGAGGATGAATAAGAAAACACATCCACAGTCCCAAGCAGTCTGTGTAGGACAGCTACTTTTGCCTCCTGGTGTCTTTAGCGTGATAACCATCACTCGGGGCATATGCTAACTCGACCATTAGCGGTCCTTCGGGCATTTCGTGTGCCCTCGCCTTTGGTCCACCCCGTACGCATCCAGTACCCAGGGGTGACTTTTTAATTTTTCCTTTACCACCCCGTCCAAGACACGGGGAATCAACCCTCCTCCTCCCCGCCTCTCCTCCATCGCCAAATCTTATTGTTAGTTCTCCCGATTGGAGATCAGAGCCCCGGGGTGCTGCTATGGTGGGTCGCCGGGGAGGAAGGGGTGGCTTTTTGGGGGGGGGGGGACGACGGTCAGTGACAAATGCAGATCTACATGCCGCGAAGGAAGAGAGAGCTGGAAGGGTCTCGGTGAAATGGGTCAGCGGGAGCAGCAGCGCAAGGATTTACCTGCTCATCCTGGCTCCCCTTCAGTCCCCCCGAGCAGCAGCGCCGCCGCCGCCGCCGCCCAAGCCCGCCTTCCCGCCCGTTACGACCGCGGGCGCTCCGCTTTCGCCTTGCTCCTTCTTCTTCTTCCTCCTCCTCTTCCTCGTCTTGATGTTACTACTGTAACTATTGCTGCCGCTGCCACGGCTACTTCTTCTGGCTCTTCCTCCTCCCCACGCCGCTGTGGCGCGTCTTTCGGGCGGCCAATTTAATCCAAAGGCGAGCGAGGTCTGCAAGCCGACTTCTGCCGGCGGGGGCTCTTCGCGGGGATCCCTCCGCTCCCCCGACGGCCCAACGCGCAAAAGTGGCGGGCTGTCTCTGAGGAGAGCCGACGGCATCCAAAGAGCAAGGAGCCGGCTCAACTCCCCTGGCAGACGGGGTTCCCTGCTTTTCTCTCTTTCTCCTGCTCCTCCTCCTCCTCTTCTTCTTCTTGGCTCTTCTCCGTTCTGTTCTTCTTGCTGCTCCTGCTCCTGCTCCCGGGAGCTCTCCCTGCTTCTCCCTCCTCCTCCTCCTCCTCCTCCTTTCACTCCCTCCTCCCTCTTCTCCCTCCCCCCCGGGTCGCCCCTTTTAATATAGTCTATTCTTTGTGCTATAAACGGAAAAAACTGGGTCTGCTGCTCGCCTCCTCAATTTTTGTGCTCCCCCCCCTCACTCTCTCCCGCTACGAAGCCTTTCAAGTGCCTGATCAGCCCAAAGAGATGAACTTGGAGATGGAGGCAGAAACGGCAAGACATCCAAAACCCATGGAGGAGGAAGACTTTTGCCGGGAAGAAGCGACGGCTGTGGTGTGCGTGTGCTCGCTGAGGGAGAAAGTCGGAAAGATGCTTCTCTCTCCTTCTCTTTCCCCCTCTCTCTTCTCTCTCTCTCTCTCACGCTTGGGAAACCTGCCTCGCTCTGGGTTTGTGCGCGCGAGAGGGATTCTTTCAATCCTCTTATAACGCTGTGCGGATCACAGGATTTATGTAGCCCCGAGTAGGACTCAGGGCAGCCGGTTGCAGAGTTGGCTGCTGAGGCGGAGGGGAAAGGAGAGGGGAGGGCGGGGGAACGGAGGGGTGGAAGCGCGAGGCGCGCGGGCAAAAAAAAAAAAGAAGCCGGAGAACCCACCCCGCGAGCCAGCGCTCGCGCTTCCTTCTCTCAACCCGGCCGCCGGGACCAGCGACTGAGAGGGAAGAACCGCGCGAGGCACGCGCATGCCCAGGATGGAGCGCGCCGAGCCCAAGGAGGCGGAGGGGGAGGAATGGTTCTGGCGGGGCGGTGACGTCAGCCCCCCCTTGCTCTCCAGCTGGACGAGCTCGGAAGGGACCTCCCACTCCCCTTTTATCTCACGCGGAGATATACAGGGCTGAGAGAGAGAGAGAGAGAGTAGAGAGAGAGAGAGAGAGAAAAGGCGTCCGGCGTTTTCCTTTCGGAGAAGCTTGGAAAAGAAGCCGGCGAGATGTCTGGTTGAACGTGTCCGCCTTATTTATTGCCCGCGTTCCACCATCCCTCTCGTGAATTTGCAAAATCCGAATATGATCGCTACAGCTGCCCTCATCTCTCAAACCACCACCCGCTTTTAGCGTCCAGCCAAGGAGGCCAATTCCGTCTTTGGGGGTGGAGTGGACTAACTACATCTGGTTGCTTTTTTAATGCACGGCTGACCAAAAAGAAAGCAACTGTTGCTCTTCGTTGTTGAATGCAATGAAACTTTACGCCTGCCGTACAATAACCTAATTTATTTATGCGCTATGATTTACTTTACATTTTGTTCCCGAAAAAATTGTGGATTTTTAAATGCCTGATCATTTATTGGGTAGATGTGTCGGATTTCTAAAAAAAAAAAAAAAAAAAAAAAAAAAACCTAAGCCAAAGAGCTCCAGGATGTACTTTTATAATATCATGACAAAACTTCGAAGAAACAAAAGATCTGATTGGAAGAATATCACGTACCTAATGGCATATCACATTATTATGATATGGAATGGGAATGGGAATGGAAATGGAAATGGAAATGGGAATGGGAATGGGAATAGAATAGAATAGAATAGAATAGAATAGAATAGAATAGAATAGAATAGAATATTCTTTATTGGACAAGTATGATTGGACACACAAGGAATTTGTCTCCAGTGCATAAGTTCTCAGTATACATACAAGCAATAAAGGATAAATCATAAGATACAATCATAATCATAAGATATAACCAAGAAAGCAATAGTCATACGATATCAATAGTGGGTAATAGGAAAGGTGAGAAGGGTAATAATATATTATCCTTTATATACTAAATAGTATATTATTTAAAAATAAACATGCATTGACAGCTGCATGCAATGTTCTACAAATCTCTTCTAAAAAATAGACCTTGCTGTTTTTGTATAGTTTGTCACTGATGACCCAATTATGCTGGTAAGATATCCATGGGGCAGAGACTGTTCCTTGTGTTCCACTCTTTCCTCTATTTATTAGACTTTTTTCCCCACCTTTATCAATATGAAGCATTAGCAGCGAAATTTGCTGCCATAATGCTTTCTTCGTTCTGCCTAGAAACGTTGGCCCCAAATTTCAATGATGAACTGAAAGAGGAAAAAGTCTAAGAACCCAATAGCCCAGGCATTTATATGTACATTTTTCTACCTCTTAACTACTTGCTTATTCTCTGAATAGCAGCTGGTTGAAACATCTTATTTCCACCTACAGATGTTCCTAACTTCTTAAATCCTAAAAAAGCCCACTATCACTTATTTATTGGTGAAACATCTAAAGAGAAATAAGCTGGTATCTCTCAACAGGTGTTCCATCAAAATGCCTAGATCGCAGAAAAGAGATAGTAATGACTGCACATCATAGAGTAAAAAATGAGGTTAAAATGGAAAAAAAAAACCAGCCATACCCTAAGCTCTATTAGCATTAGATTGTATGTCTTCAGCTATATCATTGCACAGAGCAGAATCTGTACACATTTACTCAGAAATCAATCACTGTGTTCAGTAGGTTTAGCTTCCAGATCAGCTTATACAAGAAACAGCTGTAAGCACCTTTGAATTGATGTTTCATATGATTAGGTAATGGAAATGTGTTTCAATAAAATATATGAAATTGGAATCATATTTAAGGGATAGTAAGATTGCATAAGTAGAAAACATAACAATGTCTTGATACATACTTTGAATTTCTCTTCTTTTTTTAACTTTAAACTCATAAAAAGTAAAGATAGGTATGTAGGTTATAAGAAAATTCAAAAATCTAAAGAATGATCATTCAAAAGTCATAAAGTAGTTTTCAAACAAAGATGGGTACTGTTATACATCATATACTATAGTGCCAAATAAATGAAGCATCTGAAAAATAAATTGTTTTTCTAATACATCTTCTGCCAGTGTTCCTTGTAGAACAAATTTGATGCTTAACAATATTCCAAAGGAATAAGACAATGACGTGCTGTTTTTCTTAAAAGCAATGTTGTTTTCAATTACTATGAAAAGTATAGTATAATCATAGACGTATAGTATAATCATAGTGTATAAAATCATCACAGGTATATAACATACGCCTTTATTTTTAAAAAATAGATCTTTCAAGGGATTTAATACACCATGATGACAAATTTGGAGTTAAATGCCAGTCACTACCTTTCTGACAAGCATAGTTTAAATTGAGAAAGTTGTTATCTGATTGGTTGTGTGAGATGATTTGAAATATGATGACATAATGTATCAATTCCTGAGTTCTCTGCAGGGATAATGAAGAATATCATTGATATGCAGTGTCACAATAGGTGGGTGTTGAATACATTAGAAATCAGACTTCCAGTGGTCATTTTGGTCCCAGGAATCCTCTGCAAAAATATTCATGCTCACACACTTCTATATTTTTCAATTACATAATGCTGTGTATTCTATTTATTTGAATCCTGTGTTTATTATTTTTACAAACAACCCAAGGCAGTGAACATATCCAGCACATCTTTAGGAGTAACCCTCCCATACTACCAACTCTTACAATACTAGACAACACAGTATCAACTGTAGAGACCTTCAAATTTCTAGGTTCTAAAATATGTCAAGACCTAAAATGGACACCTAACATCAAAAACGTCATCAAAAAAGCACAACAAAGAATGTTCTTTCTGCACCAACTCAGAAAGCTCACACTGCCCAAGGAGCTGCTGATACAGTTCTACAGAAGAATTATTGAGTCTGTCACCTGTATCTCTATAACTGTTTGGTTTGGTTCTGCAACCCAACAAGACAGACACAGACTTCAGAGGATAATTAGAACTGCAGAAAAAACAATTACTACCAACCTGCCTTCCATTGAGGACCTGTATACTGCATGAGACAAAAAGAGGGCTGTGAAAATATTTACAGACCCCTTGCATTCTGGACATAAACTGTTTTAACTCCTACCCTCAAAACAACACTATAGAGCACTGCACACCAGAACAACTAGACACAAGAACAGTTTTTTTCCTGAATGCCATCACTCTGCTAAACAAATAATTCCTCAACACTGTCAAACTAGTTATTAAGTCTGCATTACTATTAATCTTATCGTTCCTATCACCCATCTCCTCCCACTTAAGACTGTAACCTTGTTGCTGGTATCCTTACGATTTATATTGACTGTTTCCTAACATGATTTGATTGCTTATCTGTTCCCTATGACTATCATTGTACCTTATGATTCTTGATGAATGTGTCTTTTCTTTTATGTACACTGAGAGCGTATGCACCAAGACAAATTCCTTGTGTGTCCAATCACACTTGGCCAATAAAGAATTCTATTCTATTCTATTCTATTTTCGTCCTCCTATTTTCTCCACAACCCTGTGAGGTGTGGGGTTGGGCTGAGAAAGTGTGACTGGCCCAGAGTCACCCATCTTGCTTTCATGGCTAAGGCAGGAACCCACAGCCTCCTACTTTCTGGTCTGGTGCCTTAATAGCACTTAGCAATAGCACTTAAACTTACTGTATATACTGCTTCGCAATGCTTTAGAACCCTCTCTAAGTGGTTTATAGAGTCAGCATATTGCCCTCAATAATCTGGGCCCTCATTTTACCAACCTCAGAAGGATGGAAGGCTGAGTCAACCTTGAGCTGGTGAAATTTGAACTGCCAAACTGCTAGCAACAGGCAGCTTGCAGTACTGCATTCTAACCACTGCACCACCACGGCTCATAATCACTTAACCACTAAATCAAACTGGTTTCGGTCTATATGCATACCTTTAAAAAAATTCACGTTCTGCTTTTACTAAACTAGATCATTAGGATTCTCATATTGCCATCTAATATGATCAGTCTTTAAATTCAAGGAGGATTTACGACTTTTAGTATCCATTCAGTTTGTAGAATACCGTGCACCATATTCAATTGCAACCTAATAAACAATGATTCAACTTAATCAGCCTTGAATCTTCATATAATCTTTTTGCATGATTAAAGAACTATTTAACTTTTTGGTGTATTTTCCTCCTCTCTTCAGTTTCTTTAATGTAAGAGCCAAAATAAAAACAGGAAGTGTGATCAAAATAATGAGAAATGCAAGTCTTTACAATCTTTTCTTTTAACTGCCAAAGGGTTCATACTGTACACAAAAGATTAAGGACAGATGAAAAATTGATTAAGAAACAGATAAAAGACTAAATGAGTCCCTAGAGGTAAGTTTCCAATGAAAAGATACTGATGTATAAAGTGTACTTGAACAGTACTATTTTTTTAATACTGAAAATGGCCATAATAGTATGTAAAATTTAGCATTCAGTAGGAACAGTGAGAAAGCCTTCTAAGTTAAAAATGAGAATGCTGAAAGTGTAAATTGAACAGCTGGAGCTCTTAGCAATTTTGAGATTCAGAATTTGATGCATGTGTTAATCACTTATTATACTTCATACAATAGCTTACTTTATTGTAACTGTAAATAATCTGAATTCAAAGCCATAATAATACATACAACTAATAAAGCAAACTAAGCAACAGCAGGTTTTTTTTTAAAGCTGGTACTAATTGTACATGGCCAAGATGGCAACTATGGGGACAAAGTCAGGTTATCTAACCACCAAATTATTGACATTGAG